CGACATATAATTCTCAATATTATTTATCGGTTTCCTTGCGTGTCTATTAGTTTGATATATTACCATGGTTGAGTCTTTTATCTCCCTCGTCTTTGTTTGATAACGTAAAATGACTTTTTCAGAGAAAATGAAGAAAGGTATAAAATCGGGTAGCTTATATTTACCTAAATTTACAACTTGTGCAATTAAATAAAAAATTTGAACATTTTTCAAGCATGGAAACGATTGCTCATGAAAGGGTTTGGGTTGTTCTTTTTTTTTTTTTCTATATGTAGATAATTTAACATTTAAAAAATATATAAAATACAAAAAAGCAAATAGGCACAATGTTGATGTTGTTGTCTATATTCAAATCGTCTGTAACAAAATAAAGGAAGAGTAATTGCATTAAAATCTAACACCGATATTAAAAAAAAAATCATAGTATTCCAGGGGTATTCGTAAAAAATCATTATTAAAAACCAAAAACTAAACACTTAAATTTAGTTAGTTATCACAAAATTAAAACCGATGAGAACAAACATTTATCTAAGTTTTCAACTTTAGAACTAACAGATTAAATCGATATAAGATAACAAACACAGTGTTGTTGTGTTCATAGCTAACAATTTTTTTCCCTCGTCGCCTTCAAAGTTTTCATCTAGGATCTAGGTTCCTCTGTTTGCGAATCAGAGCTGCCTCAAGTGCCTTGAGAGTGAGAGATGATGGAATAACAATGGTGGACATAAAGGATGGAAATAGAAGAAATAAAGTTGGAAGGAATATTGAGGGTTTGAGTGGCTGCAACGTTATTTTTGTTGGCCCTTCAAGCTCCGGGAAAAATCGAGTTTCAAACAGCGCCAGAAGTGAAAATGCAATTAAGGTTTGAGTGTCAATGAGAAAGTTTCAATAAAAAGAATGTAATAAATGGTTTAAATTTTATTTACAGGTAGGATTTTTTATTTAATGGTTGATTTTAATTTAAAGTTAAACCGGATAGTAAATGGTTTAAATGGAAAGAAATTATAAGAGGGTTAAAATAATGACAAGCGACAAAAAGAAAGTCTAAAAGAATGACATTTGGCAAAGAGTTGTTTTGTTTATTAGAATTGATAAATAAATGTATATCACTAATTATTATGTCATGTCATAATAATCAGGCGAAGTCATCCTTTAACCTGCAAGAATCAGTTACTAGTGGGTAACATTTGAACAAAATATATAATCTGTTGGTGTTTTTTTGTACAAAGAACCTATTTTGATGGTATTTTTTGAACATACCATACGTTGACTGTTTTTTGAATGATTTTAAAACTTAGTTATCCTCCTGAGTCACTTTTTCTTTTAATTAATTTTTATCGGTAAATGGCAGTTACCAGAACGATGATATTTGAATAAAATATGTAGTTTGTTGGTTTTTTTGTATGAAAACCTTACTTGAATAATATTTTTTGAACATACCAAACTTTAATGATATTTTATGAATGATTTTAAAACATAATTATATTTTCCATTTGTTAACGAGGCAACCAAAAGGGTTTATCCACTTTGTCTTGAATTTGTATGGTTAAGTTTTAAGAGTGTAAATTGGTACATCTAAAGATACACAAAGTACAAGTTGAAAATGAAAAGAAGAATATCTAAAAGACATGATCCGTAGAAATTGAATGCTTTAGGGAGCAGTGACACATGGTGCTCACTACACCCATGGTCCTGCTTGCTATCTAAATTATTGCTCATTAAAGGTAGGCCTATCAAACAGAAAGAGAATGCTACACTTATCTTAATAATTATTTTAGAAATCTCTGTAATATTTTTATGTTTTAAATGTTTAGATATCCTGTAATTCATTAATAAAAGATTAAGGATATTTTTATATATAGAGAAATACATGTGGTTGAAAATAGCAAAATGATTGATGTTAATCATAAATCTTATAATAAACTAAAAGATTAATATGTAACGTTGTTATTATTTTAAACCAAAATAAAAGTATTTATATCAGAATGATAATATCTCAATGATATGTTAGCGATGGGTTACACATAAATAAAATTATATTTTTTTTCATAACTATTATTAATTTATATATATATTATATATATATATATATATATATATATATAATATATTAAACAACTTTCTGGTATTTTTAATCATAATGGGTTTTCAAATTCCAACCATAATTTTTAAAATAACATAAACTTTTTATTTTATGTAATATTTTATTCTATTTAATCTTTAGTTAAATCTATTTTTAATTTAATTTATTGCTATTATAAATCAAGTTACAGTTACTCATTTGAATGTTTTTATTTATTTAAAGATAATCTTTAAGAAAATTTTTAATTCCTTTAACATCGTGTTTTTTATCCGTGGTGCACACTAATAAAAATATATATAACTTTTGATTTAATGTATTGTTATACTAAATTAATTTAATAGTATTCTATTGGTATTTTCCAATTTGGATCATGATGGTTTATCAAAAATCGATTTAGTTAAATACTTTGATTTAATGTTATTTATTCGATTGAAGTAAATAAATTGTTAAAAAAATTATTTTTATAAAAATTTATTTGATAAAAGTAAAATTATTATTAGAAAATATATATTATAATCTTTATGTGATTATTTTCCTTGTAAACAGTTAAAATTAATAGCAAAATCATATATATTGAGTAAAAAACCATAACGAGAAGCTAAAAACTAGAATAGTGATTACAAGGAAAATGAGAGAAATAAAGTACACAAGACATTGCATAAAAAACATGAAGAAACAAATTCAAATGACTGAGAATAAAACGAAAGGCAAACAACCATAAACAATACTATATGTCAACAGAACCTCCAATGAACCGTCACTGCCAACTCAAACAATATGAACCCGTCCCATAAATACCGGCAATAGACAAAAAATCGGGGGCAATTTCAAAATTTAGTCATAAAAATTTACTTTTCCAGCTATAGACATGCATTCCGCGGAGGACCCTCTCCGGACCTCCGCGGAACCATGAAACCTCCGCGTAGAGGGGGTAATTTCGTAATTTTAACCCATCCTTTTTGAGAAAAATGACGCCTCCTCATTTGGTTCCCACTGGTCCCCCGGTTGTCTTCGTCACTCCGCATCGGCTCCGCATCGGTGTTGATCGACTTTGTTTTCCTGCGGCGACTTCAAATCCGGCGAAATACCCCCTCAAACGACGACCTATTCCGGCGAAATCGAGTATACCACTTCAAATCCGGCACCGATGAAGGGCAAATTCCCTGATGTTTTGGCCGATGGATTCGGTTCCCGGGTATTTCTCACATTCTCATCTTATTATTAATGTCGTATATCATTCAAATTTGAGGAAAACCCAATTTATTACATGGAATATGTATCATATTTAGATTTTTTAAAATTAGAAATCATAGGTTTTGTTTTTTGGGATGATCCATTCCGCGGAGGGTTACGTCACTCCGCAGAGGATTCTCCGCGGAGTGATGTTTTACCTCCGCGGAATGATATAATCGAAGAAAGCTAGGTTTCCGCGGAGGTGAAGGTCACTCCGCATAGAGGTCTCCACGGAATGACTTCTAGCCTCCGCGGAATGACATTAAAAATGGTTTTTCCAATATTTTTTTCTGTTTTTCTGCCCTTTTCTTATATGTATTTAGTTATATATAAAAAGTATGTTGTTATTTTTTGTTGTGTAGCACGAAGATCTCAATCAAAAAGCGGATTTAACTTTGAAAGGCGTGGTGGGGACTATCATTAAAGACTATTTTTCGCGCCTAACACAATCACAACGACTATTATTCGAAGCTTCGTCGTTTGGAATATTCTTAGGAATGCATATCCCACATGATGGTCCCTTACTTGTGCATATGATGATGTTGCATGAAGTAAGGTGTCAACAAATATTTGAAATGGGGAGGTTTCTTTTTGATATAGAGGGGATGCAGTTGGATTTTGGTGAAACTGAATATATTCTCATTTGTGGTTTAAAAGTTGATCCTTATGTGGATTTACTCCATGACGAAAAAGGCCGTTCAAATTCAAATCTTCGTGCTCGGTTGTTCCCAGATATTTCTGATGCACGTTTGCGGTTGAAAGATTTAGAAGACTTGATTATGTCCCTGGATTATTTGGCACTACAAGATGAAGATGTTGTGATGCTTATCCAGCTTGTTTTTATGTTGAAGGGTCTCCACGGGCGGGACCTTACAACGGGCATTCCCGCAGCAGTATACAAGCTTGCTGATAATATAGATGATTGGAACATGTATTACATTTAAAGATTGTGTATAAATGCAATGCAATAATAATTATTATAATAAATAAATTGAAAATTATAGGTTTGCATGGGGTACGTATTTCTGGACCTATACTTCGCGTTTGATGCGTGGAATGTTTAAGAAAATAGAAGAGTTTAGACTATTCAAGCAGGCCAATCCCGAATCCAAGAAAGTACACAAGTATACCGTTGTCGGTTTTATGCTTCCTTTTAAGGTTACTTCCTAATGCATTTAAATAGTTATCATTGCTTAGTTTTTTATACTATAAAAACTTTGAACTTCGGTTTGTATTATATAATAAGTTTGTATTATGATTTTTATAGTATAATAGCATGATACTTACATTTTTTCATAGATGTGGATTTTGGAGACGTTCCCAGAGGCAACCCAGTTTTATGTATGCACGCCGAAAGAATTGCCACGGATGAGGGCGTGGAGAAGTAAAACCCCGTTATCTTAGCTTCAATGTTGTCGAATAATCAACGTGTCTGTGGTATGCTTTTTACATTAACGATCATCTATAGTTACAAATTCCAATGTATTTTCATGTTAAACTAACAATCTGATTTCTGCAGCCTAACAACCAACCTATTAATGTTGTGGCAAACCCGGAGGAGTTGATGTTGCCGTTTTATGTTCGCTATGTCAATTGGACTCTTAACCCTGTAGAGTCTCCCCCACGGCAACATAGTTCGGTCCGAAATAGTCCACCTGTTGTTGCCTCGCCTGCTCGAAGAAAGATGTACAAGTCCGAAATAGAAACATCTTCGAATGAATCTGCCACAAATGCTTCTTCCTCGCAACATCCTGAAATAGAAACAAGTTATATGTCAAACGTCACATCAAGGTTGGTAAAGAAGAAGAAGACGAGCACAAAGGCATTAGTGAAGCGTCTACTAGGCGTTGTGGCTGACTTAACTTCTAAAGTAGATCGTGTATTACAGAAAAAAGATGAACCAGACAGAGGGTTTCGAGAGGAGGAGGAGGAGGAGGAGGAGATGATAAATGAAGAGGAGGAAGAAAAATATTACCATGATACACATTTGCACTATGATGATATAGGTACTCATGGTTTGGAGGGGGAATTTGGACCTACACCTACGAATGTTGAGCCGTCATCGGACGTGGGTGAACATCACACAAAAGAAATGACTCCTATTGTTAGGCCGCAACGAAATAGGGGTGTTCCATGGTATCAGCGGACTCCGTTCGCAGTGGTACAAAACTCATATTTTAAATTTGGTATATTTTTAAAATATTAACGTATTGATAATTATTTAGCATGTTAATTTTTTAGTTGCAATCCATACCAAAATTGAAGAAAATCACCAAAGCAAAGAAAAAAAGTAGTGGAGAGTCCTGAAAAAGCAAATGAAGACATTGTGGATAAAGAGAGTAATGATGTTTCAAATCATCTCCTGCTCGACAGTCTTGAAGCTGCCAGTACGTTGAGGTTTTGGAGAGAATGGAATACGATCTCTTCCAACCTAAACACTAAACATAGGCTGCATATGCTCACACTGGATGTGGAGTTTTGGTCGAGGTTACTTGCAGTTACTGACGCTGGGTGGTTAATTTCTTCGGTAACATTCGTTAAATATAATTTTTAACTACATTTTTAGACGATAATTTATATAAAAAATTGTAACATTTTTATCTTAAAATGTACAGCATATTGCGATATGGAGTGCCTTGCTCATGGAAAGACGGTCGGCGAACGCAAGGTGGACGATATTCCCTCAAGAACTCAATTTGCAAAATGGAAAATCATTTTTTCTTAGGAGTATAGCAAATGGTGTTGGAGGTCATCCTAAATGGAAGGATGTGGATATGGTTAGTTAAGTTTATTAATTATTTATTTTATTTAGGAACTTAATTTATGACTATTTAATGTTTTTTGTTTGCAGGTTCTATTCCCCATAAACGTTCCTCATACCCATTGGTTTTTGGCAGTGCTACATTTAGATATTTGGAAAGTACACATTTATGATTCAGCACGATCTATGAATTTCTTCACAAAGTACTTGACTAGTGGAGAATTCAAAAGTTGTGGGGATAGTATTATCTCAGAGCTAGATGTCATTGACTACTGGAACGATTTCCCCGATGGACACAAAGACAACGCAGTTGTGGAGTTTATTGATATTGTAGACGCGCCGCAACAGGAATATATTCTTAATAGAGGGGATTATGGAGTATTCGTAAGCATGTATATGGAAATGATTGCTTAGGGGGTACCGGTGAAGAGTGATAAGCCATGTAGAGATGCGGGATTTCTCTACAGAAATAGGATGACAAATATTATTTGGGATACTAAATAACTTGATGTTTGGAAGTTTGTATACATTATTATGAAATACTTGTTTTTATTAGTTTTTTTTTAATATAAATATGCGTTTTATCCTATATTTTTTTAAACATAATTCACCAACATATATTACGATACATTCAAACAAAATAAACATTAGAAATAACATAATAACATTACACACAACATTACAAATAAAAGATGTACGACTAACAAACATTACATAAAACATTACGAATAAAAGATGTACGACTAACAAACATTACATAAAACATTACGAATAAAAGATGTACGACTAACAAACATTACATACAACATTACGAATAAAAAAGTCGTCTACATGAAAAAGGGTTTATTTTTAACCAGATTCCAAACGTCCGTATACTCGAAATCAGTTTCATCATACTGGCACAGGTAATATTCGTTCACGTATTCAATAAGTTCTTCATCGTCAGCATCAGAGCATCGCATTTTCTCATAATTGTAGCATCGATTGAACCATGTGACTTTAGTCTTTAAATCCATCCATTTACTAACAATATCGGGTTTTAATCGTTCTTGTCCTTGTCCCACCTTATAGTTGAACAAAGCTACTAAGCGGGACCATTCATCACCAACAAGGCAATTAAGGGGAGCCATTACCGGTAGACCCTCGTAAACGGTAATCCAACATCGTGTTAGAATAACATAATAAGAAGAGATTTATGTTACCAAAATCTATAGTATTAGACAATTTATGGATCTAAATGTAATTAAATGATGAACATAACATATTTGCTTATTTTGATTAAGAATATTTAGATCAAATGAAATGAGGAATAATTAGAACACTTTTGAATAACATGTAGAGTTAACATTTAGATACATAGACTCTATATAAATCACACACTGAGATTTAGGTTTAGATTGTATGTTTTATAATGCTATATTCCATTACATCCTGACTTCGACATATAAATCGCTAGTGAAATATCTCGATTATTAGACATTTATTGAAGATACATAACGATTTAATGTGAGAAAACTTTCTATAATAAGAACAGATAGATTTATTGAATAAGAACAAGAGGTTTATAGTATTATACTTACTTGGAACAACTGTTGATACAAACCCAGAATCAAAATATGTAGAATGAGCCATTTGATTCGATATCAAATTCAAAATCAAAAGGTTTTTAATGTTCTAGTTGATTATCGAGGGTTTTCTTGTAAGAATCCGAAGATGAATTTCACGTATAATGAGAATAAGGAGTCTGAAACAATGATCGAGATTTGGAAGCAGAACGATGATCGAGATTTGGATCAAATGGGTTTTAGTGTTCGTATCTAGGGTTTTTAGGAAGAATACCGGGTGTTTTTCTGTGTTGAACGAAAAAGAATGCAAAATTCCATTCCTGCCCCTCCGTGTCTTGATCTAATCTCAAAGTTCCATTAATTTACAAAATTGTCATCGCCTATTTTATGGTTTAATCTAAATTAATATCAACATTTGATTATTCAAGATGAGTGGTCAAGATTTGGTCTCCCCGTCTCACAAAATCTAGTGGTCTCACATTATATATATATATATATATATATATAATATATATATATATATATATATATATATATATATATATATATATATATATATATATATTCTACATAATTAATTGGATTTGTTGATAACTTGAGTACCCACAAAGAATAGTGTTAAGTTCTTAACCCTTGTTTTTATAAGATAATCAACAAGGTTTTTTGCATTGTTTTGAAAAACCAGATTTTTTTTTAATTTAAATGGTACAATGACCGGTTACTGATTCGACCACCGATTCAACTGGGTTTCTAAATTTTTTTTTCTTATTTACCTACACACATAAATATACAAATTCAAATATTAAAAATACACATGAAAATAAGTTCAAACATTAAAAATACACATAGTAACAAGTCGTAGATCATTCCAAATATATTAAGAAAATATAACCATAACTCTTACATCAATCTATATAAATAAATAAATAAATAAAGTATAACACCGAAACAAAATATAGTTTAAGATGAATACACGTGTTTCAAAAATATTCATAACATTTACCATATATTTTTATTCAATTTAAAAAAAAATCTAAATAGACGTGCAAAATACCATCAAAGTATGTTATGCAAAATGTTTCATTTCAGTGTGTTTTTATTCAATTTAACCGGTTCAACTGACTTTTTATAAAAATCAACTAATTCGTTCTGGTCCAGAAATAGACATAAAATAGATGCTAGTTGAACTACTCATTTGACCGGTTCTCGGTCCAACCGGTTTGAACCAGTTTTTTAAAGCATTGGTTTTTTGTTTGTCTCATATAAATAGGTCTAGATGAATTCGACAAATTATTCAAAAAATATATTTAGCTGCTTAGTTTTTTTTGAACTAGTCGAATTCATAAGTCTTGCACATAATATAATTATACAGTTAAAATATATATGTTGTAACAATAACCATGCCATTGAATTTAACTATAAAATAATAAGTTTATAGTAATATAATATGAAACAATGTAAATATTTTGAACTGTATACCACGTAACAAGGTAAACTTCTATTAAAACCTTATATATCAATGTATAAGAAAAAAAAATGAATAGACAAAATTACAAAAATGGTCCATGTGGTTTACCAAAAATCACAAAGTCAGTCCTTATTAATTTTTTTTGATGCAAATGGTCCTTGTGGTTTGCGAAACTTGCAAAGTTTGCCCTTTTTACTAACACCGTTAGTAAAACGCAGGGACCATTTTTGAAATTTGTTTGAAAAAATAAATTAATTTGCTGAAGGTAGGGGAAAGGCTCGAACTAACGACCTTCACTCCCCTTTATTTGACCAAAACCTTAACCAATTGAGCTAATTGCTCAGTTGGTTATAACACCTTAAAACTAATTTATATAATAACAAAAACGTTAATATTTAAATAAAAAATAAATTACAAAAAACATTTTTTTTACATAACTTTTTTTTTAAATAAAACAAAAAGTACTTTAATCGTATTTATAAAAAAAATTGTTTTTTACAAATAATTTGTATGTATTTTTATGTATTTATTTTACTTAAAATATATTTTTTTATTTCTTTAAAAAATAAGTTTTCGTATAAAAAAAATATGTTTTCGTATATTATATTTTTTATGCCTTTGAAATAATAATAATTAACATTATTCATGACATAAAAAAATGTATAAATTATGTTGAGCCGCTAGTTCTAAAATCATTTTTTCGTTTATATGTATTAAAAACAACTTTAAAACGATTATGTTATGTATCTAAACAATTTATACGGTTTTTTTTTTATGTCAAGAGTACTATTAATTATCGTTATTTTAAAAAGATATATCACTATTTCTTTTCATCTTCATTTCAATCATACGCTTTAGAACTTGCAATTAAGATAAAATACGTATTTTAAATAAGATATATAACCGAATAGGTTTTTTTATGTTTTTTTTAAATACATATAACCGAAAAACGGTTTTCAGAAAACTGATTGGTCCAATCGGTTTTCTGAAAACGGTTTTTCGGTTATATGTATTTAAAAAAAGATGAAATATGTATTTTAGAACTAGCGACCCAAAAGAATTAATATATTCTTTATGTCATGATTAGTGTTAATTATTATTATTTCAAAGACATAAAAAAATATAATATACGAAAACATATTTTTTATACGAAAACTTATTTTTTAAAGAAATAAAAAAATATATTTTACGTAAAATAAATTCATAAAAATACATACAAATTATTTGTAAAAAACAATTTTTTTTATAATACGATTAAAATACTTTTTGTTTTATTTAAAAAAAAGTTATGTAAAAAAAACGTTTTTTGTAATTTATTTTTTATTTAAATATTAACGTTTTTGTTATTATATAAATTAGTTTTAGGGTGTTATAACCAACTGAACAATCAGCTCAATTGGTTAAGGTTTTGGTCAAATAAATGGGGGTGGAGGTCGTGAGTTCGAGTCTTCCCCCCTACCTTCAGCAAACTAATTTATTTTTTCAAACAAATTTCAAAAATGATCCCTGTGGTTTCTCAAATGTCACGAATTCAGTCCTTCTATACTTGAAAAGACGAAAATGCCCTTACAGAATTAGTCCCTAACGGCGTTTTACTAACGGTGTTAGTAAAAAGGGCCAACTTTGCAAGTTTCGCAAACCACAAGGACCATTTGCATCAAAAAAAAATTAATAGGGACTGACTTTGTGACTTTTGGTAAACCACAGGGACCATTTTTGTAATTTTGTCAAATGAATATAATAGTCCATTCATTGTTGTTTAAGGGGAAAATGACTCTTGAGGGTAATTAACTTTTGCGTTTGTACTCATTTGGTCCTTTTTCTTTTTTTGTATTCAATATACCATCGAACTTGTTGTTTGTGTTCACCATAACCCTTTTGACCGGCTTTTGACCTGTGATAGCCGGTCAAAGGGTTATGGTGAACACAAACAACAAGTTCGATGGTATATTGAGTACAAAAAAAGGAAAGGGATCAAATGCAACAGTTGGTTACCCTCCTGATTCATTTTCCCTTTACTCATTTACAGCAAATCCTACGTCATCTCCTACTGATATTAATGACTTTATGAGATTCATTCTTGCTTCTCTTCAAAACATAACCCACGAAAGAACATTATTCATACATGTACAACTTTGTAATGCACTTGAATATTTATTAGGGGAATCTTGACTAAGCAGACGCATTTCATGACTACATTTACATTTCCAATCAAATGATTTATCGTATCATGTATTCTAGACAAGTCTACAAACGAGTGGAATCACAAGTGCTGTGATTTTTGAGTTTATTTAGCTTTAAGATCGAATTCATGGGATAAGATACAACATCAATATGTACAATATCATGCTGCTTTTGTAGACACATCACCGTAATATACCTTGAGGTAAACGTTTATGCTGATAAATATACCTTTCATACACAGTCATATCCTTTTGCAGAGAGGTGTTGACAGCTAACCACAATAAGCATAGCATAAACCATGTTTTAACGAGGTTACCCCTTTGAAACGTTCTTCATATACATTATAGCCAAAGAAGGTTGCAGTCTTTGATAATTTTGCAACTTTAATTTCATTCAACTTTTCGAGGAAAATGACTCAGGAGGGTAACCAACTGTTGAGTTCGTTCTCATTTGGTCCCTTTCCTCTTTTTTTGTACTCAATAGACCATCGAACTTGTTATTTGTGTTCACCATAACCCTTTGACCGGCTATCACAGGTCAAAAGCCGGTCAAAAGGGTTATTGTGAACGCAAACAACAAGTTCGATGGTATATTGAATACAAAAAAAGGAAATTGATCAAATAAGTACAAACGCAAAAGTTAATTACCCTCAAGAGTCATTTTCCCTTATTTAACCTCACTTCTTGTTCCGTTGGTCGATTCGGTTTATGAGATTTAGCCGATAAACATATTTCAGTTTTGTATCATGTAATAATTTTTTCAATAATTTCAGGTAATCCTATGTTGGTCTCTGCGATGAAATCTGTAATCGCAATACACTAGTGTTATGAATTATGATTATGATGATATAATATTAATAGGAAAATTATCTTTTATGGAAGTTGTATTCATAAAAGCAAACTCCAAGTCAATATTACGACTTCATTAAACCAATTACCAACAATAAACTATCTATCCATGAATCTATGAATTATCATATGAAACGAAATCAAGCAAAAACAATTGCATAGATGCAACAAGTATATGTACTTTGAAACCAGAAAATCTAGGTGTATATCTTTGACATCTTGTTGTTGTTGAAGAAGATTAGAGGGGTCCACCCAAGACTCTTTTTAAATCCAATTTCTGTTCATTTGTAAGCCTTGTTGGGTACCTGACATCAAATTTAATTGTGAGATTTCCTTTTTTTCTTGGTTCCTTTGAAACCGGCATTCCTTCGTTGGGGACAGTTAATTCGTATCCCGGTTTCACAATCTCGGTTACGGGAATTCGTAGGATTCTGGCATCGGGTGTTGTGATTTCAAGGGTTTTTCCTGTGAGGGCTTCTAGAAGCGGGATTTCTTGATTGATGATTAAGTCGTTACCATCTCTTGTGAAAACTTGATGAGGTTTTTCATCGATTACAAATATCAGATCCGCTGCTATCACACCTGGCTCTTGGTTTCCCTTTTCAGGAAATGTAATCTTTGTGCCCTTTTTCCAACCCGGTTTTATTTCAATGGTTAAGATCTCCTCAACTGTTCGAATCTTACTGCATGCAAATAAATACTAAAAAATAAATAACTTTTGTGACAAGTTTCTAATATCATGTTGTGTTTGCGCGACTTGCTTAATCTTTAGGGTTAGGGGTATACCACTGCACACAATCACTAAATTTTAAATATATCTTTCCTTCTTAAAGGCAGTCCTTTGTTATCTTCCGATTCATATTTATAATAAATCATCTTTTCATAAGTCCCTCTTCCACTCTACCACCCGTATTAACTCTACAAAGTTGTATTATTCAGAGTACTAGAGCTTAAAAGGGACACTGATTAATCATACGAAAATTACTACCATAAAAAGGCTCTTGTCCTTTGACTTTGTATCCTAGTGGTCCTCTGACCACTCGGAAGCATTACTTACATATATGAACGAAATATCTACTGTGGATACTAGCATGAACAAATGTGCACCAAAAAACATATATGCATGTGTAACTGTAAACTATCAAGGTTATGAAGAAAGATAACAAAGTAAAACAATTGGAAGCATGAGAGTAGCCAGATTTTGGTCCTGAACAAAAAGGCAACCTACATAATTGATAGCAAAGAAGTTGATTTTCATCAGGTTTTTCCCTATCCCTATATACATGTATTCAATCAAAATGGATATCAGGGACTTGGATCTGGGTTTTAGAACATGATGCTACATATGAGAGCTTACTGAATCAACTACGACTGTGATATATAGCAAACTTTATTTCGAAATTTGGCATTATGAGGATTAGGTGAAGGTCATCTAATCAAGTAATCAGGGATTAAGCAGCAAAATTCAGATCAAAATCAAATCATCCATTGATATCCAAATGGTATATCATCCCATCATTACCCTACTCATTTGCACAATTGATGTACAGAATTTTAGATAAAGAAATGGCAAAATACCAGAAAAGACGTACCCTGCAGAATTGGCTACAGTCCTAGAGATCTTCATCTTCTTCTTAGCACCTTTATAAAGATCCTCCAAGCTACAAGGCAACAAATTCTCCACAGCAGGAGCCTTCCTGGCCGATGAACTCTCCCCACCGTTTGGAGCCCTAAAAACCCCGTCTTTGAACGCCCTCCCCGCACTCCGCCCAGCAGCGCCACCGCCCGCGGCATCAGATCCTCCAAACAATTCCGCATAAATATCCTCAGCATCCCTAGGGTTAAACCGAAACGAAGGATCAGGATGCTGGTGATTATTGGTATGATAGTGATGAGCGGTGTAACCTCGATTGGAGGAAAAAGGATGGGGCGGAGGGACTTGGCCGGACTTCAAAGCTTCTTCCCCATAAAGATCGTAGATCTGACGCTTCTTGGGGTCGCTTAACACATCATACGCTTCAGAAATCTGCTTGAATTTGGCTTCCGCTTCTCCTTTGTTACTGCTAGGGTTTCTATCCGGGTGCCAAATCATGGCGAGACGACGGTAGGCTTTTTTTAGGTCTTCATCACTAGCATTTCTGTTCACTTTGAGGATGTTGTAGTAATCGATTCCCATTTTGTTCTTAACCGATGGCCAATTGGTTAAATAACCATGAATCAACGAAACCAGACGACGCAGATCACCACCACGACGGCGTCGGCTGGTGATTATTTACAGTTGACCACCGATTTTCCTCTCCGAAAATTGAAAATGTTGACCGGAAGTCGGTGATGTGATTCGATGGAGAAGAAGGGGTTCAATGGAAAAGACGTGTTGGTGTGTATGAATCTATGATGAAGCCGGTGGTGGGACCAAAGGATCTAGTGGGTCCACAAGAATGTAATTACTTCCTCAATTGGGAAATATTATTTTTGTATTTTTAAAATGTGGTAAAAGATAATATTAACATGAAAACTCAAATTAATATTCTTTAAGTTTAAGGTGCCCTTTCTTTAAAATAAGACCATGAGCTACATTAGAAAGCATACGAGGATCGGAGTCGATATTGGGATAAGGTATTCGTCTTTGGATACCAAGTTTTTTCGAAACTAGCAATAGTTGAATACCAAGTTTTTTTCAAAGTAGCAATAGCTGAAAGTTGATATGACTCAGAGTATCAATTTTTAAAATTTGGAATTGATTTTAGCATGTGTTGTTGTTTTATTTTTCATATTATTGTTGACGGTGAGTCTGTAACCGCCCAACACATTTCAGCTGTTCAAACTCCCCTAACTTTCAATCTCAGCCACTTAAACTCCATAATTTACAGTTACTATAGGGCGGTTCTTCTCGCGTTGGAACCGGCAGCTTCCCCTCCCCATTACGTCTTCAACCTCCCCGATATGTCTTCAACCTCCACAACCGGTGATTAACTGCATACGTCACGACTTAATTGCGTGTCGAGGTTTATTTGATAATGAATATAAGAGTGACCCTCTGCATCCCAAGCATACCTTTTTTCTTTCCCTTCGACTTCTCCTACTCCTAATTTGATTTCATTTATTGTTGTAGGTTTCTATTGACGTTGCCTTCTTCCCCAAATTCTTATTGTGGGTTTTGCTTGCTGGTGTCAGGTTAGTACTCTATAAGAGTTCGATTTCATTGTATTTCATTCTCTCGCACGCACAACTTATACTTAGGCGACCACTACCAGACGACAAGATGATCAAATTGAAGATTAAAGAATATGCTTTCCGACCAACATCAGCCCTTACTCGCTTCCAATGCTTCCGTCTTTTGAACAAATATGGTAACAAAAACACACACCGGTACAATATTTTTTCTCGATGAATATAAATTCAAGTGGTAGATTATGGGGAAGGGTGATAGTAACATCGTTTGTATCATTGCCAAAGGAGTTGTTTCAACTTTCAACGTCGTTACAAGTTGTTGGTTAAGGTAATGAATTTGAATCTGAATCTGCATCTGTTTTAAATTCTTTCCTCGATTGTTTGATTTTGGTTCAATTTCTTCTCGATAAATTTAGTCTTTGGGGTTTATGATGCTTTGATGATGTTTTTAAGTCGGATGTTTGACTATGTCTTATAGGTGTATGATAAACGCCTAAGAGGGATCATAATTTAAGGAAATCTTTATTCTGTTATAGAAATTTAGGTTTTTTTGTAAGTTTAATTTCATTATATCTTTACTAAGGGTTCTTTTTTCATTGGGACACTACAAGAAGCTATCCAGAGACATGTATGAGGTTTGCATATAGAACAGATTCCATGTTTCATTTCATTGTAACTTCTCAATAATGATGCTGCAATTGGAGGGACTTACATGAAGCTCTAATGAGGAAGACATGTCAAACACGTAAACCTTAAATAGGATTGTTGGAGTTGGTTGTGATGGTAGACCTCTTGGCAAATAACCTTTTAGATAAATATTCATAATGTCATATATATTTTTTTGTTACTTTTAAATTAGTTACTACAAAGAATGCAGTTAATTTCTGTTACATTTCCTGACAACCAAATGCATGAAAGTTCCACTAAGTTTTGTAACAAAACCTTAATTAATTAATTAATTAATTTAATTTTCAGGAATATTTGGTAGAGATCTATGAGTGGTCTGGATCAAGTTGGGAACCATACGATGCAAATGAAGTTCAAGTCCAGTTCTATTTATACATGATGAGCCCTTATGTATTAAAGACCATATCCACTAATAATAAGGTACCCTCACTTGTATATTTATGTTTCTTTAAGTTTTAAATTGCAAAATATATATATATATATATATATATATATATATATATATATATATATATATATTGTTTTTCTTCAGGTTTTGGATACAGGCGGATTCTTGCAAACTTTAGGTTATGAAATGTGGCCTCCATCGGTACACCTCTATAAGTTTGTTTAAACATATATAATTACTGATTTCAACTACTATATTATTATGTATGAAGATTTGATTAAGTTTTGTTTCTATTTCTTTATCAAATGATTAAAATCCTATAATATTGATGATGAAATATATTTTGAAGTTGATGCAATTATATAACTAGCGTCTGTTTTATTCTATACTATTTATATTTATATAAAGATTAATGCATATATGGGTGTGTTTTTGTTATATTTCTCTGTTATTTAAAGACTTTAAATGCTCATTGTAGGTAGCTACAAATTTTGGCATGAGATCTAGCTATAGTTGGTATTATTGTTGGCCTTATGTTATTAAGGAAATAAGTTTGACCTTTCTCCTTCACTCTTATATGAACACATACATTTTGATAAATCTATATTTCACTTGATCTTCTTTTGGCTCTGTAGTAAACTTTTTTATTCATAATATTCTTTTGCAGTTTGTCCATCTTATTATTCCTATTAAACAACAAAAAAAGTTGTTAAAGATTACATTAAGGTATTTGAATGTTTTTTCTTCATTAGTAATTTGGTAAGTAAACTGCATTTGTGAATTTTTTTTTTCCTATTTTTCAGTCTATGAAGCCTAATCTCGAAGTACAAGTTGAATAAGTTGCTTATGCTCCTCCACAAATGTTTACAAATTTCACGATGTAGTTCTCGATCTCTACCATTTGACAAGATGGTGATGCTTTTCAGGTCTTGGGGGATAATCATATATTTAATCCAGTAGAATCTTCTCCACATAAAATTACTAACAGACCTTAATTTGAAGAAAACGCCTCAGTTGGAGCTTATGAGTCTACCACCATGTTAAATGCATATTCCTTATGGCTTTTAAATCCATTTGGTTTATTGATTGCCCAGTGCAACTATAGTAAAGTTTTAAAAGCAATCAAGAAGATGGAAAAATAGCTACACGGGTACTTTTATATATCAGGTAATTTTTTTTTTAATTTTAATTAGAATAAATAGGCAGTCCAAGTCAACAAAATAAATTTGGTTTAATGTATCATGTAATCACAAATGTGAGAAGATATATTAGGAAAGTAATGTCATCGGGATGTAAAGTGGCTAATTGCAATAATGTAAGTTTTGAAGGAATAGAGTGGTAACTAGTTACCTCCTAATGAATCATCTATTGGTTCACTTTTTGCTTATTGCAGCATTCTACTTTTTTCCTTATTGTAATATTGTACTTATATATCTTTTCTTATAATAGTTTAATACACCCCGAAAATATATATGATTCTGTTCAGATGTGTTTCTTTAACTTCTTAATTAGATAATTAACCTCTCCATCGGTTTTCTAAAGATATACATAAGATTTTAGTTGTTATTGAAAATGTTATTTAGTAATTTGGAGTCTTTTTTTTTGTTGGTGTCTAAAATATTTAAGCACTTCAAGAGAATTCACAACATTTAACATATTGTTTGAAAATATGTAAGAACCAATGTTTTTCATTTTTGTTCAACCACATATTAAACTTAAGATCAACCACTAAATAACAATATTGCCCCTGTATTCTCCATTTCTTCGTATCTGGTTTCATGCTCAAGATCTCAATACATAAATGTTTGGGTTTTTTTTTCCCAATTTATCCTTGATGAAGTGTCACATCCCTGAACCAGAACGGCGGAAACGTCCGGGGGCGCATGACGTCATGTACAGTACCATAACAATTGAATAGTAATGAAACATAGCAACACAAACATTCATACATTTAGATTTAGAGTATTACATTGTTTACAACACTTGTTCTGTTCAAAAGTAAAACACGAATATTAAAAGTAGAAATAACATCATGTAGTGACGCCAGGCCTCGGTCGTGGTGAATACCTGTCTACTAGATCCTTGAGAATACAAGTCGTTTTGAAAAGCATCAACTAAAAAGTTGGTGAGTTCATAAGCATGTTTGTAGGTAAAACGTTGTAATATCCTAGTTCATAATACGTTGAAAATCTTTGTTCATAGTACGTTGTAAAACCTTTGTTCAGAGTACGTTGTAAAACCTTTGTTCATAATATGTTGTAAAACTCCAGAAAATCCAATATTTTCTTATAAAAGTAGTTTGTGAATCTCGTTCCAAATCGTGTATATTTGCATGCATGTTCTTTGGTTTTCCTTTGTTTGTTGTAATATCCTAGTTCATAATATGTTGAAAATCTTTGTTCATAGTACGTTGTAAAACCTTTGTTCAGAGTACGTTATAAAACCTTTGTTCATAATATGTTGTAAAACTCCAGAAAATCCAATATTTTCTTATAAAAGTAGTTTGTGAATCTCGTTCCAAATCGTGTATATTTGCATGCATGTTCTTTGGTTTTCCTTTGTTTGTTTCTGAAAAGAAAGTGTTCCCAAATAATCCTATATTTTCTGTATATAAAAGATGTTGTAGTCCTAAAACCCTAAGACCGGAGTTGTGAAATTAGTTTACATAATATACGAAACATAGTTTTGTATTTTATAAAACTAATGGGGTGTATATCCCTTACTTGTAAAGTACAAATGTATAGTTTCAGAAAAATCCAGGATTTTCTTAAAGGTGAATTGTGGTCTAATACCCCAAGACCGATATGGAAGAAAGTATGCTACGGAAAATAGTTTATAGCCTCATTTCTTTTAATAAAGCTAATAAAGTACAAGCCTTCCGTAAACCAGGTCTTAAAATCCCAAGACCAAGATGGAAGTGTATATCGTGCCGAAAATAGTTTATAGTTTCATTTTTAAATAAAACTAATGAAGTATAAGCTCCCCGTAAACCAAAATCGTTTTGTTTATCCCTATGTGAGTTGTTATAACCATACTAATATGACTGATATGCCTGGCTTGCCGTCTTTCAGGCGTCAGTTTCGTTCCAGATATTTGTCACCCTAGATTGGTCTAGTCTAACTGTAGCGAACAGCTGAGGTGTGGGGTGTCAACCCCGTATAGATCTA